ACACACGCCTGTAATCATGTACACCTGTAATCTAGGTGACTCGGTGAGTGAGTGGTGTATAGCAGCTACAGCGGCCACACAGCGAGTAGCAAGCAGCAGTTTCCAGGCCGGGCTCCCATCCAGGCTACTGCATGCGCACACATGATGTATTATAATATAGTTAATCGTGTTTACCTACAACTGCCTTTTCAATGAGTGGTACACGTGCAGGACTCATCCTGCAGTCTGTACCCCACACACCCCACATACACATGCACACACCACGGGCAGCCGCCCACCCGCAGGGCTTAGCTATATACGTGTTCTATCTGTTACATCAACAGCTAGTGTCTCAATATACTGGTTACACTCCTGGTTATACACGACTGGTTATGTCAAGCTACACATATAAACAGGGAAAAACGACTGGAGGACACCATACACGACCTCACCTCTATTAGTAGTATTTGAAACGGCAAGGTGTGACGATGCAGATCCATGTCTTAAAATTACAATACACGATCCTAGTTTGGGACCCCGCAAATGTGCCAGACCTATCCGGGGCGCTATACGGGAACGGGGGGGGGGAGACGTTGCTGAATCAGGAACGATGTCTACAATACACGATCACACGCGCAAATACATATTAGGGGCCTAACGTGTTCACCATTTCGATGATGAATATGATCGGGAGTAAATAACAACACTTTTGAATCACTCCTGCATATCACCACAGGCCCTTGGAGGCTCAAGTTTCGAAAAAGTATAAGTCTATATTAAGAGCGAAGCGGCTCTTCGCTTCGCTCTCGCTCTTCTCTTCGCTTCGCACCGCTTCGCTCTTAATATAGAGGGCCTGTGATATCACATACATACATAGGCCCGTAACATCATATCAAGAGTGAATAATAATAGATCTATTAATAATTATTATTCACTACTGATCATATTATATACATGTCATGATAGCAATTAAGAGCTAGTCATACCATGCAGGTACCAATAGAAGTTATACAATACAAGTTAGTATTACTGTGATATCACGATGTGACTCCGTCCGCTTATAACCGATCGAACTTACCATTTTGCCGATATCTCCCAGTCCACCGTCTCCGCCTCCATCCTTCCCGCTGAAGTAATTCCCGGCGACTTTGCCGAATATTTCTCCGGCGACCTGTCCGGCATTGGACGCCTCCTCGGTGCCGAACATCTTCTGTCCGATCATTCCTCCCAGTTGCTTCCCGAATCCAGAAAACATCTTGACTGTTAGTTATAGGTTGCGATCGCACAGAGCGGAGACCCGCCTTCGACAGGTTGCTGCTGCTGCCGCTGCTTTCTTACAATGGGCGACTAGCAAGGCCAAATAGATTACGCTCCGCAGATTTGTTTGCTCCAGCAGCGCCGCTCTGCCGACTGTATCATAAAACGCCGCCGCCGCCGCCGTTCACTGCTCGGCGTGACGTCACAGTGCGCGTGCGCGGTGTCTGTAGTTTAATTATATATATTATTATTATTAGGTGATTGCAGGACAGATAGAAATGATAAAAAACACGATTTATAGTCGTGTGAGACTACACCCGCCCCACAAACACAAGTATTCTCTCTCTTCTCCTCTCTTCTTCGCCTCCCCCGCTCTCTCCTCTCTCTTTCTTCTTTCTCTTTTTCCTACCACTCCCTCCCTCTCTTCGCTCCCCACTCCCTCCCTCTCCTTTCCTCCCGTCACGCCTTTCAATCTATTCTTCTCGTTCCTCTCGCATACTCGCCATCTCTCTATCGATTATTTATACCTATCTATCTATGCTATATATTATATCTATCCTATTATCTATCTATCTATCTATCTATCTATCTATCTTTCTATCTATCTATCTATCTATCTGTCTATTCATCTATCTATCTATCTATCTATCTATCTATCTATCTATCTATCTATCTATCTATCTATCTATCTATCTATCTGTCTGTCTATCTATCTAGGGTTGAATAGAAACAGTTTCAAGAATATATTTGACGTAAAATTACCATCCCTTTTATTTTTCATGACACCGTCAGACGAGAGTGTTGCTATCCCCCGGGCGTGGAGGGAGGGTCACGTGATACAGTTGACGTATACTTCAAAATCATTACTCATCCGGTACCGCTCCGACAACTCCAACGTTAACCATAACACTAATCATATATATCTCGGAGCGTTATATATAGGTTCTGTGATCCACAAAAATTAATCTATGGTGTGGGGACAGATATCATGATGCAAACCCCCTAACCCTATCCCTAACCCTGACCCTAACCCTAATCCTAACACTAGTGCTGCCACGTTGCGGTAACCTCCTTCCACGCCCGGGGGATAGCATTACCCATACACAGACTGGACGAAACGCCCAAGTAGTGTAATGGTGGCGCTGCCGAGCGAATGAAGCGGTACACTAAAATTCTGGCTGTGGTGACAGACCGTGGATGTGTAACGTTGTAACATTAAAACGTCTTTATCGTTAATTATCGAACGTCTAACGTCTCTAGAGTTTAATTATACATTCCTGAATCTAGAAGGTCAAATGTTAGTATTCATGTAGATTTTGCTCTATTAAACGCCGATACATTTATGTTTACAAGCAAAACGATTATCCACACCGTATCACAGACCATACACAGACTAATGCACAATACACACAATACATCACAATGCGTAATGTGCACACGGTATACTGTGCTACAGTCTTAGTTTAATTTATTCCTTTGTCTGTGACCGGATTTGGTGAGATGTTTGTTTTTTCTACAAACAATAAAAATAATAAAGCCGATATAATTTCCATATTTTTTACTCAAATACCATTAATCACATTTATTGCTAGAAAGCTTAATCACAAGTGAAGTGCTGGAGCTTCAGAAATTTACGATTCTGCTTGTTTCTAGGTTCGGAGTGCAGGAGGGTTACTGACTTCTATCAGAGATGGAACTGCATCCTTTCTTAGCCTCTTAAATTTTTTGACTTGCCCTTGTGTTTTTAATAAAGGTGGAAGAGATCGGGTAAAGGAATTATGGAAAATAAGATAAAATAGACAGTTTGAATTTTTTATTACTAAAATTATTCAGCATGTGTTGGTTTAGTTTTGATATTGTTATAAGCAATAATGATATACTTCAGTGCCCAGCAGTGAATATTTCTCAAACGTATTTGTCTGTTTATGTATATTTTATGAAATCAAGCCTGGTACATGTATAATGACATATGAGTCACACGACGAGAAGCAGAGAAAGCAAAGTTTTTTTACTAATTTCCCATACTAATAATAGTTATAAATAGGTACAGCATATCACATTTCAAAGCAGCCAGTGATTTTTACCCTTGTCAGCTGGACACATAAATATGGATGCCTCAAAATGATCCTCGCAAATTAGCAGATATTTGCATTGGCTGTTTTTTTAACCCGTCAATGTCGGCTCTTCTTATGTTGCAGATCCACTTCCAAAGTCTATGTACATGATCATCTAAATGTGTCATGTAATGATGTGGTGTATTATTTATTTACAAATTGCATATCGTTTTAACTGGTATTTTTTACTGAACAAAGACCAGCAGAATTACACAGATCACTGAACCAAGTAATGTTTTTCCTAAATTTTAACTGTTAGCTTCACAAGATTGTATCTTGTATTAGTTTACATTGATATTATGATTACTTATGATTAAACAATCAATAAGTACAGTCTCTGTTCGTGTTCACAGCAGTCAGTGAGTTACTGCATCTGTCACTGCCGTACTAACGAATTTATTAATTGCAAACGTAAATAACATGCAACACGTGATAAATCTAATATCTATCATGCTCTGTGGGAAACTTGAAAAACGCTATATCTGGGGTTTTCTTCTTTGTATTGGAACAATTTCCCGCACTGCAATAACCGCCAGCTGATGCCATTTCGAGTAGTTGACCGCTTCATTCGCGAAGGACAGTACCTGACAGTTTTCCTGCCATTCTGAGAACGTTTTTACAAACATTCACATAACATTGATCAACTTCCGAAAATGACATATTAACTGCAGCAACACTACGTATGCGCTGCAGTCTTATCTTAATGTCTCCAGTACGGCAGTACCATCACACACACACAAACAAGTACAAACAGTATAACTATCCCTATCACTAACCTTAACACAAATTATAAAGCGACTCGAGTCGTATATGATAGCATCTAAACACAGATAAATTAATCTATGGTGTATATAATCTTTGGCTTTCAATAACAAACTGAACTGAACTGTTTCTGAACTGACAATCAATCCCAAACAACTAGTGTAGGCTAGCTAATTTATTAATTAATTAATTACTTAGGCTGGAGATTAATTAATAGCTAGTGAACGACATTATTTTGTGGAAAAGCGATGCATGCGCAAATGGACTACCGTACCCGTAGCCTCGAGACATTAAGATACGGCTATACCGTCCCCGTAGCCACTGCGAACAAAAATACATTTGATACCTGTGCTATCGTTTGCAACATCACAAAAACGGCAATTTTCGTGCCCATCCGAGGACGGTTAACGTTTTCCGAACATTCCAAGAACATAACTCTCTCACCAAGTAAAACCAATAAATGTATAACGATATGGGAATGTTCTTAGAATATTTTTGGCTAATGTAACCAAACTAGAACCTCCAGCGAATGTTACGAGAATGTTCCGTGTTTGCTGGGGTACCATCGAAACGCTTAACAAGCAGAGTATAAGAAGTGTCCAGTCTGTGAATCCGTTAGTCTGGTCTGTGGTAGCAGAGCATATAAATCACCTGGTGCTTATATGCTCTGGTGGTAGTATCACAAGTGAGTGTGACAATTGGGTGTATCAATTTGAGATTATAAAACAGTAACAAAAATCGCTGAGTCATGCTCCAGATTAGTTGAATAAAAACGATTAGAATTTCATATGAACAAAATAAATACAATGCTACCATATTACCATTCTGTACCCAACTCACCTTCTCAGTTCTCACTCTTTCTTCTCTACATGCACACATGGTTCACCAGTCTAGATTGCTACTTGTTTTGTTAATCTGTAATATACATACAGTATGAACGAGGACTGCTGTGAGACGTATACTCACCTGTCTACATATGACAACGTATCTCTAGGCAGCCTGTTGGTATAGGGTTGTAGTGAACAGATAACGCTGCACAGTTATGCAATCTTGACAGTAACGTCATTTCAACCTCTGTGGTGAAATGTGCTGTGTTTTGCTGAGATTTTTACCTGTCGACGCACTCGTTCACTTCCGACAGCGAGTGAATATAGAAGAATTTTCCCTCTTTGATGCGAAATGCATCGGCCGGGCATTTCATTATTTACGAATAGTAAAAAGGTTGGCGAAAAACAGTAGGTACAGGACCTGGTCACGTCGGTGACGCCCCATTCATGTCAATCAACAAAGAAGGCGGAGCTTATTGTCATTACAGAGATGCCAAAATGCAACATAAGGACGTAGCGCAGTGCGCTAAACGACGTGTTATTTTCGTTTTTGTGCCAAACTCTATCGTAGAAAACCGTTATAGCCTAGCAGAATGTCCTAGTATCTGAGATCGGCGATTTGGTACTGTGATGGGTCTCCACCCATACAAATTTCAAAGGGAGGTGCGGCGTACGCTGTGATTGGAGGATTGCATTGATTGCATCATGGCCGCATCACGTCCAGATGAGACGGGATACTAGAGAAGCGTTGCCGAAAGGAGGTGTTGGTCCCAAGCGCTATACGCGCAGATCTTGCGCACAGTTCCGCGGCAAGGCGCACGCGACCGCGGGAACGTCCTACGACAGTATGCAGCGCTGGCAGCTATGGATCCGTGCGGCGAATGAATTGGCCGTCGCACAGATCCATAGCTGCCATGCGAACAGTCCGCAATTTTAGTGGGGGACACAGAGGGAGTACAATTTGGGACGTGAACAGTGTTCACTTGTTATAAAAACATAATTTCTCTCTTCGTAACCGAGCTGTGTGACGCGAAATCACAGAAAGACTGACGAAATTCTCGCGACGACTCGATAATTTTACCGGGAATACAATGAAACAGCTGAGCTGCATTGAGCTGCTGTTCTTTGCAAGTTCAATGAAAATATCTATAAAAGTGTCACACCTTCTGCTTCTCAACTGTGTTGTATAAGTGTTATTATGAATTGTATTTTATCATAGCGTCCGTGGCTTCATGTACGCGGCGGCAGCTGCAGCGGATACATAAGCTGGGTTTATAATAATAATATATGCGGAAATAATACGCCTCTATTCATGTAAATCGAAATGTTCACCTATATACAAACAATGACGACGTAATAATCACATATAATTGAACACAGGCCAACCCCACCACACCGCGCGTCGATCCCCTATTATTTC